TAAAAAACTACCTGAAGACATAGACATTCATGACTCGACTCTCATCCCTATACCTGTATATACTATTGATACTCTTATTCCCTATGAAGAGTATATAATGCTAAAAGAAATATCATTAAATATTGGACCTTTCACAAAAGATAAAGGCAGAAGATTTAGACAATTACTAGAAGAATTTGCAGATCTATTCATATCAGACATTAATGAACTAGAATGAACTAATCTAGTTATCCATAAAATTTATATCGAAGATATACCTCCTATAAATTCTCAACCTTATTCGATACCCCCAAGTGAACAAGCATTTGTTAAAGAAGAAATCTAACAAATGCTAGACAACAAACTAATACAACCATCTAACAGCCCATGAACTTCTTCTATTGTATTAGTACAGAAGAAAAATAGCAAATTACGCTTCTGTGTAGACTACAGAAAGCTAAATACTATAATCAAAAAGGATGCTTACCTATTATCTCGAATCGATAAAATATTGAATACTCTCACTGGATCATATTGGTTCTTTATATTAGATCTCGCTAGTAGATATTGGCAAGTAGCTATATACCCTAGAGACCAAGAAAAGACTGTATTTATTACTCGCTATAGAACATACAAGTTCAATATCATGCCTTTTGAACTTTGTAATACCCTTGCAACCTTTAACACTTAATAAACAGAGTCTATAACAAGATAGTATGGAGATTTGTAATAGTATACTTAGACGATACTATTGTATTCTCCAAGATTTTTAACGATCATTTAATCTATTTACAAGAAGTTTTCACTAGAATCAGACAAGCTAGACTTTGATTGAACATTGAAAAATGTAATTTTTAGATGCAAAGATTACTATTTCTAGGACATATAATCTTGCCTAAAGGAATTGCCCCAGACCTTCAGAAAATCAAAACTGTTCAACAAATTCTACCTTCTAAGAATATAATCCAGTTACGATCTTTTTTAGAACTAGTAGAATACTATCGCCAATTTATTTATAATTTTTCTGCAATTGCAAAGCCCTTGAATCAACTCATCCAAAAAGACAAACCTTACAAGTAGACCGAAGCTCAACAAGACTTCTTTAATGAGCTAAAGCAAAGACTCATTAATGCTTCTATTTTTAGCTATTCAGACTTCAAGAAGATATTTATCCTAGCAACCGATACTTCATATTATAGATTTGGTGCTACTCTTAGTCAACTTGATAACCATAATAAGGAACACCCTGTAGCTTATGCTAGTAAAAGCCTAAAGAAGGAAGAAATAAACTATGGTACTACCGAACTAGAATGTGCTGCTATAGTATGAGCTATTAAATATTTTTATAAATATCTTGGAGCTACCAAGTTTATTTTAGTTACTGACCATTACGCTCTCAAATAGTTATGTACTGCCAAACCTAAAGGAAGATTAGATCACTAGATACTCAAGTTACAGCTCTATAACTTTAAGATTATTCATAAACTAGGACAAATACACTCTAACGTCGATGCTCTTTCATGATTATAGACTTAGACCAAAGAATCTAAGCCCTCATGAATTTAGATCGATATCATCAATTATATCAGTATTTAGATACAGATACAATATCTGAAGACTTTACCAAGAACTAGATAAAACAATTAATTAATCAAGCCTGATACTTTGAGATTAGACATGTACCGAAATATTAAAGAATATATACAAACATATGAAAACTACCAGAAAAGACAAAAAGGAAGAAGAAAAGAACCTTTACACCCAATTCAAATCGAATGAGCTTTTGAACAAATTAGAATTGATCTAGTTAGACCTCTATTGATCACAGACCAAAACAATCGCTATATTATTGTAGCTACCGATTATCTAACTCGATAGCCAGAAGCCTGTGCTGTACCAAATGCTGAAGCCAAAACTTTAACAAAATTTATCTTTAAAGAAATTATCTGTAGACATAAAACCTCTAAAATAATCTTATCTGATCAAGGAAAAAACTTTATTAGTACTACTGTTCAAATACTGTGTGAAAAGTTTCTTATCAAACACAAGTTCTCTTCGCTATACCACTCTCAGACCAATGAAATGGTTGAACGATTGAATAAAACACTTTGTGAATCGCTTGTCAAAGTAAGAGAAACAGATGAAGATTGGAATATTCATATACTTGCTATCTTATTAGCATATCAGACCAAAAGACATACTATCACTAGTTATACACCTTTCCAGTTAGTCTACGGAAGACAAGCTACTCTATTTATCAAAACTATCTTTCCTACCAAACCACTACCAGATCCTGATACAGAAATAGACTTGCAAGATAGTATATTACAATGAGCCTATAATTTGATAGAGAAGCTACCCCAAACACAAGAAAAAACTTGAACAAATACAGAAAAATCTCAAGAAAACAGAAAGAATATTTCAATGCCAGAATCAGATCAGAAGAATTTGAAATTGATAAAAAAGTTTGAATACAAATTAAGGCTTTAGAAAAGTCAAGATCAGCTAAATTCAAAGACAAAAAAGGACCCTACATTATTCAAGCGAAACTAAATAATGAAGTGTATAGATTACAAACATTAGATGAAAAAATACTGCAGAAATACTATAATAGCAATCGACTAGCTAAGTACTACAAGAAACAGACATAGAAACCAATCATTGTGATTAAAAATCTTTAATTTCTGGAAAAAATTTTATTGGACGGGAAGAGACAAAGACAAAATTTTGCAAAACAGACAATCGTACAACTTTAAAAATTATAAATAGACACTTTATTCAGAAATTTCCTAATTTATATACAATACACAGATATCATGCACAACAACACCCTGCAACCCATAACTATTCAAGTTCTCCAATACTTTCTTACTATTTGAAGACAAGACCCCGCTGCTCAGAACAATTTGAAAATTTGTCCTTCTAACATCTTTTCTAGTAAATACTGCAGTAGATACTCTAATTGACCCTACTGATATAGAAGCCTTCTTGAATAATATCTTAACCAAAAACCTAGAAATCAACCCAACTCTAGACAATTCTCTACCTGATACAGAACTAGAAGTAAACCCTACTTCAGACAATTTTTCTCTCAAAATAGAACCAGAAACAGAAATTTTCTAAAAAGTTCGAGATGAACTTACTCAATCTCTTATCTCTTTATTGTATAACTATCCTAACTCTTTTATTAGTAGAACTTGAAAAAACCAATTGACCAAAATCTTTCGACAATTAGAAGATAAAGGCTGAACTCGACCCAAATAGATAAAACTTCTTGAAGCTTATCTGTATTTAGGAATTCTTATCCAGAAACAACCTAACAAATGACAACAAATTCGTTAACTTCTACAAGTTTTCCAAGGTTCTTGAAAGACTCAAGACATTTAAAAAGAAGCTACTCGACTCCAACAAATCTTTAGTATTCGACCTAAAGACTTTTAAGTTTACTGATAAAGAGCATCAGTTTTTAATTAAGAATTTGCAGAGCAAATTTTTATAAGGAAACGGAAATGTTATAGAACAGTTTATTATTTTATTAGTTTATTATTTTGATATTGTATTTTATTATTTATTATTTTAGTATCTTATTATTATTTAGTATTATTTAGTTATTATTATTAGAGTAGAATTTAACAGATATGTAATATGCTTAACACTTAACAATTAATGATTAGCAATTAGCGATTACGCTTAGCGATTAATGATTAGTGATTACACTTAGCAATTAATGATTATATTTAGTGATTACGATTAGCACTTAATACTTAATAATTAGTGATTACACTTTACGCTTAGCACTAAATAAACTATGCTTAACTATAATGATTAGCGATTAGCTCTAAAAATATAAATAAGATGTAAATTTTTTCAAGTTAATATTAGACCTGCATCATCACCTCTTAGAACCAGACTCTTCTCTTCTCTAAATTCTTTCTTGTAATATTATAGGATTCTTTAGAAATAGGAATCTAAGGATAGCCTATCTTATTTTTTCTGATAAAATATATATTTTATCTATAAACTATTGTCTGCCCAAACTGGCTTAGTTGTAGTAGAAATTATACTTACTTGTTGGACACCACTATAAACCTGTGAAGGATCTCTGTAGCTATATTATTGTTATAGTACTGCTGTTAAGAAGGTCATGGTACTGTAACACTATAAGATATTGGTAATATCATATTTTGTTATAACTGTTGTTTATGGTTAGTGAAGGCTATAATACTTATTAATTAAATTAACTTAAATAAGTTGAAAATATATTATTTTTAACATCAAAATTACTAAAAATTTTGGTTTTTAAAAAACTTATATACATATGCAAAATTATATAAAATTACACAAAATATAGTAACAGATAATTTTACAACTCTACTTATATCTTTAATTTTGATCTATTTAATACTTCATATATATTATAATTAAATTTAATAATTTCGTAATTGTGATTTAATCACTTAACCTGCTTTTGATTATACTTATACCTACATTACTTTTTGATACAAACAATAGTAACAATATACTTAGTGAGATAATTAATATCATATTCTCAATTTATAATATAAATATATATATAATATATATAATATACATATATATATAACAGATAAGATCCAATACGTAGTGGGAATGTAGCATACTCTGGTAGGTTTAGATTGTAGATAAAATTGTCTAAACCAGTATTCTTAAGATTATATGTAGCCATATAAGGCAAAAATTTAACATCTAATAAAGATACGAGGCAAGACCTCACCTTAATACCGAAAAAAAAAAATATATATAACAAATAAGATAGATACAAAAGCTTATATATTAGCAAATATATCATCCTCTTCATCTTGATTAATTGAATTAATTGATACTTGTATTAATAGAGTTGTATATAAGTTGTAACTTAATTCTTTATATTTAACTTGAAGTTTTTCTTGAATACTAGTATATTCATCTTGATTAATAAATCAAAGACTTTTAAAATAAGAATCTAAAATTGTAGCTAAAAGAGCTACTTTATCTGAAATATTCTATAATTTATCAAAAGAAAGATAAATTGTAGCTTTAAATTTTTCTATCAAGCTAGCAAAATCATTATCATATTCACTTTTCTGTTAACTATTATAACTATAATTCTGGTCATATTTTTGTTTATATCTATATCTATATCTATATTTATATCTATGTTTACATTTATATTTATAACTTTTATATTTGCTTTTATTTTATTATTTTTACGAATTTTTTTTAAATATTGATAGGTACTAGAGCTAGATGCTAAATCTTCGGTACTATCTTCTGTACTACTGCCAGTATCATTAGTTTTATCAGTATCTTTAGATAAAATTAGACTATATATTAAGTTTATATACCTTTTTAATATTTTATTACCAGTTGGAGCAAACTTATGCTTTAATAAATACATATAAGAATATATTAAATTAATAGTAGAATATTTTGTACTAAAAACTTTTTGAGTTATTTTTTTAAATAGTGCTAAAAGCTTTACTATACTTTTAATGAAACTAAAAAATAATAATTAAAAAAAAAAGCTTACTTGAATTCTTCAGAATTAAGACATAAGTTATTAAATTGTTATTTTTTTTATGAATTTGTAAAATTTGTGAAGAACAAAGAGTGGTAGCAACATTTCTTATCATATCATCTAAACTTAAAACTCTTTTTTATACAAGATATGAACTATTCTACTTTGTTTTACAATCTATTAAAACTTCTAATAGATTCAAATAATTATTATTATTTTTTATAAAATTATTTTGATTTAGCATAATATTTTCTTGTACTTCATGAAATTGTTAAGCTTGTTTAGAACTATGAAAAAAATTTTGTATATTTTTAAGTATTTATGAATTGTTATTATTTGCTTAATTACTGAACTAAAAGTTGAAGTATATGTATAGTACAAGACAAATGTTTAACTGAACTAAATTCTTTTTTTACCAAATAACAGACTTTAACTATATTAGAGCTGTTATCCATAGCAATAGTAAATATTTTGGTTTTCAAGTTCTAGTTTTAAATAACTTTAATTAATTTATCTCTAATAACTTCACTCATATGTAGATATAAAAGATAATGACAAAATAAGAGTGTTTTATAAAACTTAAAATTTGTATCAAATCAAGTTACTATAATTCCAAGATATTTACAAATATTTTTAGTTATCCAAAGGCCTATTGTTAGATTAATAGTTTGTGCTATATCTTTAATTAATTTTAATATTTGTTTTTGAGCTATATATATAAATTAAAAATATTATTTTTTATAGTTTTATTACATAAAAAAAAATAACTTGAAACACATTTATATATTAATTCTCTAAATAACAAGCATTTTAAAATAAGTAGCAGTTAAATATCACAAATTATAAAAGTAATTAAATAATAAGTAATTTTTGTTTGCTTATAAGTACTAATTGAAGAAGAATTGAAATTCATATTTGTAGCTTAAAAACTATTTTTTCGTAGTTATTATAAATTAATATAAAAATATATGTTAAAAATTATATAAAAAAATATAAAGAAGGGTGTGGCAACTTAGTGAAGTAGTGAAGTTGTTACACCTCCAAGCAGTTAAGTACAAGTTCAATTTCTACTGAAGATAAAAATCGAATTAAAAAAAACAAATTCGACAACTATCATTGTGGATGAGAAAACTCGAGACCTTGTAACTATAGTTATACTAATTTATCAGAACTGAGAGATTCTGGATATTTGTGTTATATGTAGTGTTCTGAAGTTCAGTTAAGTTCAATTTAGATTCAGGTTCAAGTTCAATTGAACCTGAACTGAACTTTAAATTTTGCAGATCTTTGAACCTGAAC